ATATCTGACTGGTTACAGCTTGTATCAGTATATGTTAAAGAGACGTGGTCGTGGACTGTTGACAGATATCTGACTGGTTACAGCTTGTATCAGTATATGTTAAAGAGACGTGGTCGTGGACTGTTGACAAATATCTGACTGATTACAGCTTGTATCAGTATATGTTAAAGAGACGCGGTCGTGGACTATTGACAGATATCTGACTGATTACAGCTTATATCAGTTGTTTAAGGAGACGTGGTCGTGGACTGTTGACAGATATCTGACTGATTACAGCTTGTATCAGTATATGTTAAAGAGACGTGGTCGTGGACTGTTGACAGATATCTGACTGATTACAGCTTGTATCAGTATATGTTAAAGAGACGTGGTCGTGGACTGTTGACAGATATGTAACTGTTTACAGCTTGTATCAGTATATGTTAAAGAGACGCGGTCGTGGACTGTTGACAGATATGTAACTGTTTACAGCTTGTATCAGTATATGTTAAAGAGACGTGGTCGTGGACTATTGACAGATATGTAACTGTTTACAGCTTGTATCAGTATATGTTTAAAGAGACGTGGTCGTGGACTGTAGACAGGTATCTGACTGGCCATGAGTTGTGTTATAAATTATGCATGACTTGAAATGTAATTGGCTGGGCATTATAAGGAAGTTCCATGATTACAGGTTTATGTTTTCGGATTTGAAAGTATGTTGGGTGATCTGATTGTAACTACTGGTAAACAGTGCCTATACCAATATTGCATTTTACATCAGGGAAGACGAAACATCAGTACTCATAAACTACTGCGACGATAAGTAGCGATGTATTCATATGGATCGTTCTTCATGTAATCATTGGCATACAAATTATACTTAATATTATAACTGTAAACTAAATGATAGAGGAAGTCAGTGGGTAATACACAGAGGGAGGGCAGGGGAGATAGAGAGGGAGAATGGCTTGATAGAATGAGCTAGAAATTATAGAGTCTGGAAATGATAGAGAGGGTGAGTCAGGGGCTGATAACGAGAGGGAGAAAGGTGTGATAGAGGGGGCCGAGAATAATAGAGGCAGGAGGTGGTAGAGAGGGGGAGTCAGGGGCTGATAACGAGAGGCAGAAAGGTGTGATAGTAAGGGGGCCGAGAATAATAGAGGCAGGAGGTGGTAGAGAGGGGGAGTCAGGGGCTGATAACGAGAGGCAGAAAGGTGTGATAGAGGGGGCCGAGAATAATAGAGTCAGGAGGTGATAGAAAGTGAAAGTCAGGGGCTGATAACGAGAGGCAGAAAGGTGTGATAGAGGGGGCCGGGGATGATAGAGTCAGGAGGTGATAGAGAGGGGAAGTCAGGGGCTGAGAACGAGAGGGAGAAAGGTGTGATAGAGGGGGCCGAGAATAATAGAGGCAGGAGGTGGTAGAGAGGGGGAGTCAGGGGCTGATAACGAGAGGCAGAAAGGTGTGATAGAGGGGGCCGAGAATAATAGAGTCAGGAGGTGATAGAAAGTGAAAGTCAGGGGCTGATGACGAGAGGCAGAAAGGTGTGATAGAGGGGGCCGAGAATAATAGAGTCAGGAGGTGATAGAAAGTGAAAGTCAGGGGCTGATAACGAGAAGGAGAATGGTGTGATAGAGGGGGCCAGGGATAATAGTAGTCAGGAGGTGATAGAGTCAAGAGGTGGTAGAGAGGGGAGGGGGGGGGGTCAGGGACTGATAACGAGAGGGAGATAGGTGTGATAGAGGGGGCCAGGGATAACAGTAGTCAGGAGGTGGTAGAGAAGGAGAGGTCAGGGGCTGATAACGAGATGGAGAAAGGTGTGATAAAGGGGGCCAGGGATGGTAGATTCGGGAGGCTGTAGAGTCTGGAGGTGATATAGAGGGGAAGTCATGGGCTGATAACGAAAGGGAGAAAGGTATGATAGAGGGGGCCAGGGATGATTGATTCAGGAGTTGATAGAGAGAGGGATTCTCTCTTCGGATTTGTGTCCTACTGTTGTCCTTAGAACTCTTATATAACAAATGTTGGGCTGTGGAAAGTTAAATGTCAAAGGTTGTGGAGAGCGAAAGCACTAGAATATTCGTGCTGCAGTATTATTGGTGTAACGTAAGTATAGTGAAAAGGACACTTAAGAGCAAGTACGCATAAAGTTGTCTTGTTGTTTGTGTTTTAAAACCAACACGCTGCGTGGGTGTATACATGTATATTGGATCATTCACTTGTCAGTTTATTATGTAATGAGCGGTCACGTGAATAGTGACATTGGACATTGCCATAAACAAACAAAACCTTACTCATTGACACACATAACAAACGGATAAACTACATAATAATCTAGATCAGCTCCAAGCTTGAAGTGTACCCTTCATCCTCCTTTGTGGTACGCTTTAGATGATAGTCCCGGGATGATTTATGAAATCAACATTTGTAAATCGAGGGAGGTTTGCTTCACTGTGGATTTCCTAATCCTACAAATGGCAGAAGATATTCAAGCAATTAATGTTACCGTACATGTCCCAACCTACATCAAACACCTGCAACACGTTTAAGGATGGCGTTTCCAATTGTCCTATCCAGTTATGTTCCGAAAGTAGCTTATAGTGACCACGAAAAAGCTGAAGTACATTTTTCTACAATTTCTAGCATTTACCTATTGCTTTTATGAAATCTGCCATATTGTTATTAACGACAGTGATGTTTTTGTCAGTTTTTGATATTGGGAAACAGATCGACCAGATAAAACTACTCGTTGGATGCCAAATACTACAGCAAGAACACAATCTTGACCTTTATCACTGCTAGTCAATCGTTCATTCCATGCATGTTCTTTTCATGCTGCATTGAAGGAAGCTCGCGTTTTACCTTAATTTAAGAAAGGTGGTCCTCATCTTCTGTTAAATTAATTACCAATATCATTATTAAATTGTGTTTCCAAAATAATGGAAATGTGTTTTTTTAAACATATATAAAATTATGTAAGTGACAATGATGATTTTTATAAATATCAATCTGGATTTCTTCGAGGTCGTTCGACACTGTTCCAGCTGATCGAGCATTTCCATAACACTGTTTCTGGATTTTGACAGGAAATAGTATTCGTGTGTTGTTTTGTGACCATTCCAAGGCATTTGATAAAGTTTGGCATAAAGGATTAGTATTCAAATTCCGTAAATATGGTATCAGTTTGTTATTGAGGTAAACTTACCATTCTGGTAATCTAGTTATCTCACTAACAGTCAACAACCTGTTACTTCTGGAATACTGTGGTTGTGTCTCAAGAATCAATTCTCGGTCCCCTTTTGTTTTTTATTATATATTAATGACCTTGTTGACCCTATGAAAACTGTTATTAGACTCCCTGCATATGACTCGTCTCTTCAAGAGTCTTTAGCAGACTTAAATGTTATTGAACAGAACTTAAGTCACGACATCCAACGTCTAATTAGATTGGTCTAATCAGTGGCTAATTCAAGCCTATGCTGTTTTCTTCCAGACCCTGTGACGTAAAACCAAATCTTACCCGTAATAAAGAACGGCTTACTTTCACTGACTCACATTGCTATCTTGGTGTGTTCCTCAGTAGTAATCGTAATTGGCATGACCACGTTCAAAATATTATCACAACAGACCCATATAAGATAACTGCTTTAAAACCATTGAAATATAAAGTTAGTAAGGAGACTATTGATACAATAAACACGTCTTTTATTAGACTCTTGAATATGCCTCCTGCGTCTGAGATGGTTGTTCTGATGAACTGTCCAATGCCTTGAAAAGAAACCAATTAGAAGCCGCCAGCCTTGTGCCTGGACTACCATCTGTAGTCTCCTGTGAGGCATTATATCTTGAAACTGGATGGCTATACTTAAAATCTAGACGTGAGAAATTCAGGCTCTCTACTTTCCATAAGATCCATAATAGACACGTACCCTGAAATCTTGTTTGTTTCAATGTAATAGAGGTGATCTTTATCGTGATACCCGTAACCCTGAAAAATACCAACTTCCAAGATGTTGATTAAATGCATTTAAAAATCATTTATCCCCTCAACAATTATCTTGTGAAATAGATTTGATAATTCTGCAAAAACATAATTTCTTCATCAGCATTTCGTATAAAAACCACCCGTCCTACCAAATTACATGAATATTGATAACGGTATCTATCAGTATTGTTAGCACGAATTATAGACAGGTGTAGCAGTCTGTAGAGTGATTTATTCCGTGTGGGTATATGTCCATCGCCTACATGCCATTGTGATTATAATAATGAGGACGCGTATCATTATTTTTGTACTTGTCCGGCATTTGTAAATCTACGAATAGGTATTTGAAATTCTCTAGCGGAAAATGGTATCCAGCCAATCCCCGATGTCAATATTCTTCTGTGGTGAGACCATGTGCTTCCACTCCAAACCAATGTCAATACTATACTGGCCGTGCTTTCTTTTACAAAAGCAACAAAAAGGTTTGAACGTAATGAACAGACAACCAAGGCAACCAGAACCTCCCTTTCATATTCTTATTCTATCTTTTCCCATTTCCTCACCTTCTGCTTTCCCTCTGTGAATATTAAATATTTAAGTATTGTCGTCACGTAATATGATCAATTGTTGTGTATTGTAATGTTGGGAGATGGCCTAGTAAGTTGTTAGAACTTGTGACCAATCCCTTTGGGCAGGGACGTATATTAGACTGTATTATACGTCCCTGCTTTGGGGTATATTTTTATCAATAAAATATGTTTGAATGAATAGAAATATACTGTTTTTTCAATCCTGATTGCGAAAATATATTATCTAGTGATCGCAAAATCATTATCTTACGATCTTGCTTTATTACGATGTCCATGTTTGGTTTCTCGCCTCTTTACATAGCTACAAAGACCACTTCTAAAATATTACTAATCCCAGTTCCAGTAAACACACACTTTTTTCCGGTCCAGGACCCGGACAAATTGTTATTACTAAGTCACTTCCGGTAAGAGTTGCCCCGTCGCCGTCATCCATATCAAAAGCGGCCCACAGCGACAACGGTGGTCAAAAACATGGGGCTTGATATGGGCATGTACGATCTTTTTGAGTATTTCCTCAGTCGTCCATGGCTTTTACTGGTTTTGTTTCTGCTGTATGTTTTTATTTATGCACTGTCAGTTTTGATGTCGGGTCCAAGGCCAGGAAAGAATCCGTTCTCAGTGTCACACATAAAACCGGTTGGAGACCTTGTGACTGATAAGCAGGTGCGCGACAGAGTGATCAAACAGAGTAAGTACTGGTGTATATATCTTTATAAACCATACATATGTTTAAGTCACTGCTTTTGCAGACTTTCTTCCTTTGCAACTTTGCAAATAGTTCATTAAAAATACCGGTCTACGCTAACATTGGTACCGCGTCAACTTTTTGCATGTTGTTAGACACAGGTATAACGTTTATTACTCAATAAAGGAATTATTAAAATCTTCATAAATGAAGTGTTGGGTGCTAAAATTGTCCCAGGACACTCGTTCCTCCGAGGACACTCATAAGGTTCACCGGTGTACAGGGGGCAATCGTTTCGGTACCAGGTTGTTTCGGTACTTCCAATATAAGTCTTTTCGAAAATTGTTTGATTTATGCATTTATTTAGGTTTTTTAATGTGTGTTTTCATTAATGAATATTGCTAATTCCGTTACTGTACACTGTACACTCACAATGACACTCTTGCTGTATAAACCATTTTGCAAGTGCTGAAACAGAAGACGTGAATGAAATTAAAAGAGAGCATGAATATGTTTCCTGCTAACTGGATTTTAGTTATGAAACTAAATGCCATAATAAGACATTTTGAAACTTATTTATCAGAAGGAAGAATAAGATGAATTTGAAGTGAAAGTTCACCTTTTTTTTAAAAATAAAATTCTCCAAATAAATAATTTCTTGTGTACCAAGTAAGATATTAAACGACTAATTCATATGGAAATTCATGAAAAGTTTTTCTTAAATATTGACATGTGTTTTAAGATATGAGAAACTTCATCATTTTACATTAAGTGTATGGCAGCGATGAACATAAACTCGGAAGAACTTATATTTCAACAAACAAAGATTTATAAATCAGAAGAACACAGGCATGCAAACATAACTTTAGATCATATACAACACTAGATAAATGTGAATTTTTTCTCAGTTATACTAATCATCACAGCAAAGTGGTTATCAAATTGAAACACTATCGAGAAAGTTAAACGTTTTGGTATATGTCTGAACTTGAGGTCTTTCTCTGCTCATTTGTGAATGGGCTTTTTTGTCTCATTTCGGGAATAAATTATCAGTTGGGTAGGATTCAACTATATATTAAGGGAATTGGGCCATAAAGTGAAATAAATTCAATTGGGAATGGAGCTCAAATACAGCCCCACAGAGCCCTTGTAAAAAGCCTGTAATTTATTGAGAAATATTGGAGTGTATGCATATTTTGCTTTGCACTTTTGTATGAAATGAAAATAAAGCAGGTATATATCCCCTAAATCCCTAAATACCCCACATTTTTCAGAGATTTGTGACATGGTTTAACACTTCAAATAGGGACTACATAACTAATTTACTTTATTTTCCTGTGAGTTGATAATTGTATATGAGAGCAAAATTTAGTACTATAAAATTTACATGAATTGGGAATGCTAATTAACTAAAATGATCATGCAGATTCATTTTTCATTTATCAAATAATATAAACAGTGTACTTGTTGTTCACTGTTAAGATTTGCAGAAAATGTCCTGCATCTCGTAATCACAATTTTCTACGTCAGTTGCCTTGATGTTATCTCTATATATTAAGTTTGGCCTTTGCACATGCTATCATATGACTATCGTTATTTTGTAACTTTATATGCATATTTGTCTGTGTAATGGGAGAAATTGCTTTTAGATTGACCAAATTTAACACTTTTCTCTTTGTAACATTTTATTTGCCAACAAAGTACATTTCAGTAACTGGAACAGTGATGACTTAAAATTCTACAAAATGAAAGCTGGAAAATACACTTACTATACTGTATCATTCATCCTTTATCCTTAAAGGTTCTGGGAAATTGGGTGGGGAATGTATTGGCATTAATTGGTATTAAAGGGAATCTCATTTTAGTTAATGCAAAGGGGTTAACAAGTTCAACATAAGTTAAAATACAGTAGTTCATACAGACAGTAAAATAGGTTTAACATTTTACACAGTGAAGTATAATCCCATTGTTTGATTGGTGGGAGATAATGGAATTGATCGTAAAGAAAAAATATATTATCATGAGGGGAGGGAAGAGGTTCATGTAACTTTTTAAAGCTGTAGAAAATTTAACTGTTACAATTTAATCTTTCTCTTGAGGGAATGTAACACTACAGACAAATAGAATGATTCATAATAATTACCTCCCAGTTCATGAGTATATATAAAAAGTCAGACAACACTGTCATAGACACACAGTAATTATCTTATTTATACATATATATTGCACAAAATCAGGAGAACACACCATTTCAAGTATTTAGTCACAATTTCCTTTTAGAATAACAATTACACATATAGGATATTAGACATTCTCTGAAATTTCAACTACTTTTTCCAGTGAATACTTCCTATGTTTTCATAGAGTTGACAGGAAATTACAATTTAACTCCAGTGACCTAGGAGATTATAAATAACAATAACATATAGTCTATTAAAACCCCATCATTCAAACAACAAATGTAACACAACTTCAGCTTTGAAAATTGAAAACATACAATATACAAGATGACATCATAGTTTATATGATATCATAAAACAGTGTGCAACAAATGTACAGTATCTAAGATTCAGGTTTTATATGCACAATTACAGCCTTTTTGCCTTTCAGAAGGTGAAAAAAAACTTGCAGTATATTTTAAAGTCTTTGTAAAGATAAACATTAGTCATGAAACATACATTTCTGTTTTAAGATGTTACATTCACATGTAGGTTTATCTTGGCCCCTAGTTGGTCCTGGTTATTTTCACTATTAATACAGTGGTACGTGTATGTACATGTGTACATCCTTTACATTGTAGGTAATAGACGGGGCATTCATCCGTGTCAGCTTCTAGACAGTGTCTACACATCAATTGTGATTAGCAGACAATTTCAATGAAACCATGTATATATAAATATAAAAGTATACCACCTGTGCCTTTTGAATTAATTGGAAAATTGTTGATTAAAAGTCAGCTTGTTTAATGAAAAATTCAACCCATTTTGGTACTGGATAATGTTGTTAGTAATGTTAGACAGTCATGCTTAATCATTTATAGTGCACACTTGATATGGACTCGGTGACTGGAACAACATGGTATATAAACAGATTTAGAGAGAAATCTCAACCGATCATATTTTTGACAAGGAAACATTTTTTAATATTCACACATACCCCGAACAACGCAGCGAGATCTATTTACAGTCATTTTTGTTGAATTTGAATAGAGGCTCATGTGAAAATGTTTGATGAAAACATCAGTAAAATTCCATTTCACACTTCACTTAACTTTGAATGTACTTTGGATGAGGGTTTATTGGGTCCTTGAGAAACTACTGATCCACAAATAGCTATATATATATAAAGATATGCTTTGCCTATATAAAGATATGCTTTGCCTGTACATGATGAGTTAGAGTGATTTAGCTTTACATTTAAACTTTCCACCTTTAATGCAATAGAACATGTTTGATAGGATCTCAGAATTAATGGCGTGATTTTAAATCTCATTATCTCTGTCAACCATGACCTGTTCATAAATTATGTAATTTTTCATATATATTCTTTTATTTTTAGATTTATTAACAATATTTTTTATTTTGGAGTAAATATCAAGTATATACATGCAGTCTGTGATTAGAATTTGAAGTGTATTTAAAGTGACAAGATATCTCTTAAAGTAGGTCATCATCAGTCTATGTGCACACATATATTGAAGTTATGATTAAAAGCCCATTAGCTTTGTCTGGAAACTTTGAAAGCTCAAACAATTAAACTTTACACTCTTATACATTGTTGGATCAAAATGTTCAATACTATGTACATTGTTTATTGGTTCCACATATATTCAACTTTGCTTAAAAACGTACAGCTTTGTTTCCGCTCCATATCTTTAGATTGGTTAGTAATGTACATGAATTCATCAAACATTTTACACTTACATAAATTTGTTTGTTGTCTGGCCCATCATAATTCATCTGTTTTTGACAGGTGCTAGAATTTTACACTTACATAAATTTGTTTGTTGTATGACCCATCATAATTCATCTGTTTTTGACAGGTGCTAGAATTTTACACTTACATAAATTTGTTTGTTGTCTGACCCATCATAATTCATCTGTTTTTGACAGGTGCTAGAATTTTACACTTACATAAATTTGTTTGTTGTCTGACCCATCATAATTTTGTCTGACCCATCATAATTCATCTGTTTTTGACAGGTGCTAGAATTTTGGTGTGTTCCCTGGACGCATACATGTCTAGAACAATAGGTAGAAACATCAAAGGGAGGGTAATTATAGTCTATATCATACATGTATTATATTTACCTGAGATATTTTACCTGTGGATCTACCTGTGTTACCTGTATTAACCTGTGATAACTTGCAGAAAGAAAACTAAGATATCAATATGAAGTTCAATATTTATTAACTTTTCTTATGATAATATTACAATTGATTAAATTTAAAATACATTTAATATAAAGAAAGAACACAAAGATGCCAATATTTATGAATATATTCTATCATAATAGCACAATTACCTTTAAATAACATGTAACTTCAACTAAAATATCAAGTTCAACATGTATGAATATATTCTATCATAATATTACAATTAACTTTAAATTCAAATCAAATCTATAAGGTACAATATTTTGATCTAAAGAAAGATCAATGTACAACATATCAGCACATAACTAAAGACATATATACAGCACTAGGAAATGATAAATATATGCAGCACTACTACAAAAACTTATAAATATACAGCACCAGGAAATGACAAATATATGCAACATGACTATGAATACTAATAAATACACTGCACTTATATGTCACACTATTAGAAACTGATTGATGTTACAGCACTAACGGCATATACGAGACACTAAAGACTGATAAGTGATAACACTAATTCAATGATGAATATATAGCACTGACATAAATATCTGCAACAATGACACAACGTACAAAGTCATTCGTTTTGCTCAGAGCAAGTCTAGGCAAGACATTTCAACCCAAGTGAAGAAGCTCAGATGCTGCATCAGCGTACGCAATGATGTCTATGGTGTTGCTCTCCAGTCTCTGTTTCAGCAGGGCAAGGCGGGTGTCAATGTTTCTGTACCTCTTGGGTCGGGGTCGTCTGGTTCCACCGGCGCGTCGTTGGAGTCTTGCAATTTCGTTGGTAGCCTGAATGTCTTTGAATGTCTGGATGATCTCGAAGATGTTTGGATGGGCGTGTTGCACAATCTTCTTCAGCTTCCCGTGCCAGGCTTCAACAGTTCTTGTCTCTTCATCCCATTCGTTGTCACGCAGTTTGCAGAGTTCCTCACTGTAGATGGTAGGGATTGGTCTGATTTCTTTCTGGCAGCGGTCAGTGATGCAGTTCATGATCTCCTTGGCTACGATGCTTGCATGGTCTCCCGGGTGATTGTGTGGTTGCCGTCCAACTCCTATTATGATGTTGTTGCGGGTGTTGATTGTAGCAAGGCAGTTGGTAATGGTGCATCTCCAGTAAGTTCTGAAAGAGAAAAAGAAGATATTAATGTCTGGTTCACATAAATGTATAGTTTGCAACACTTGAGATTTATATGTAGAAAAAAAAAATCTATCAGTGTTTCAAAGCAACACTTACTGTGACTTCAAGAGTATGATGTATAAAAAATATGATTTATTATTTTCATTTATTTATTTATTCATCAATTTACTTTTTATCTCTAATTATTTCTTCCTTATTGCATACATAAGAGCAAAAAAGTCCATTGATACAATTTATGAGTTTTTGTTTCAAGGATAGAATTAACAAAATATTTCTTTTTACAAAACAACTTTTACATCAGTATTTACCTTTCTCCTCGAGATGATCTAATTCTGTACAAGTAACCATTATATGATAAGTTGTTACCCCCAAGTCTATTTCTAATGAACTTAAAATTTAACTGAGCGTTAGCCATGATTGGGAATTGAAACACTAGAAGATTTGTTGAATGATAGCAAAGTAAATTATACCAATGTGAAAAATGTGGGAGCTTATATAGATAAACTGCATGAATAGCTTGGATACTCACCTCAAAGTGTCATGTCATCTGTAGCTTTGGTCCTATTAACTGAGTTCATCAGTTTTTTAATTGATCTTTGAGAGGTGAACAGTTTTAGATCAATTAATTTATTTAGCAAACATCATTTGAATATAAAATTTACTATACAAACACTTTTTAAAGAAAATAATCAAAATAATCATATCAAGCAGTTATTGTGATTTGAATAAATGAAATTGAATGCATGCATAATTGTGCATAAATTAAAAAATATTAAAACAAAATTGTACACAATTTATATCCTTCATCTTGTAAATTGAACATTTCTTAAATAATTTGTTTAAAGTTTATATATATAATCCATACAATTGTAATTTCTTCTTTTTTTTTACTTTAAATAAGTCTATTATACACTATATGTCCTCATCTGTAATTTCCCACCCTAAAATCAGGATGCCTGTACACTCACAGGTAAATACAGGTAACTTGTACAGGTAAATATAACTACCTACACAAGGAAACAGACTATAATCACTGTGTAAACATATCACCCAAGACATGTTTTTAAAATGTATGCGTTCTGGGATACAGCCAGAATTTTACACTTACATAAATTTGTTTGTTGTCTGGCCCATCATAATTCATCTGTTTTTGACAGGTGCTAGAATTTTACACTTACATAAATTTGTTTGTTGTCTGACCCATCATAATTCATCTGTTTTTGACAGGTGCTAGAATTTTACACTTACATAAATTTGTTTGTTGTCTGACCCATCATAATTCATCTGTTTTTGTTTTTGCTAGATCTTAGCTAAGTTTTTTTTCTCCAAAAATTTCTCAAGATACCGCTGTAATGTTGTGGGATACTATACACTAGTGTATGTGCACCTTATACCTTAACAAAACAAATGTGTGTTTATTGAATAAAGAGTTAAATTTTCTTGCAAATGCTACTTTCCTTAAAGAGTCGTTACAATTTAAGTGATATAGTGTCACATTGATCTAAAATTAATGGAAAAATGAAGAGTACATGGCAGAAAAAGTCTGACATTTGTCATGACAGAGAAAGCCTGACATTTGTCTTGGCAGAGAAAGCCTGACATTTGTCATGACAGAGAAAGCCTGACATTTGTCATGACAGAGAAAGCCTGACATTTGTCTTGGCAGAGAAAGCCTGACATTTGTCATGACAGAGAAAGCCTGACATTTGTCTTGGCAGAGAAAGCCTGACATTTGTCATGGCAGAGAAAGCCTGACATTTGTCATGACAGAGAAAAGCCTGACATTTGTCTTGGCAGAAAAAGCCTGACATTTGTCATTGCAGAGAAAGCCTGACATTTGTCATGACAGAGAAAAGCCTGACATTTGTCTTGGCAGAGAAAGCCTGACATTTGTCATGGCAAAGAAAACCTGACATTTGTCATCTCAGAGAAAACCTGACATTTGTCATGACAGAAAACCAGACATTTGTCATGGCAGAGAAAACTTGACATTTGTCTTGGCAGAGAAAGCCTGACATTTGTCATGGCAGAGAAAACATGACATTTGTCTTGGCATAGAAAGCCTGACATTTGTCTTGACTAGAAAAAGTCGGACAGTTATCATGATAAGAGAAAGTCAGACAGTTATCATGTCTAGAGAAAGTCAGACAGTTATCTTGATTAGAGAAAGTCTGACAGTTATCATTCCTAGAGATTGCCTGACATTAAAATCATTCCTAGACATTGCCTGACATCAATATCATTCCTAGAGATTGCCTGACATTAAAATCATTCCTAGAGATTGCCTGACATTAAAATCATTCCTAGAGATTGCCTGACATCAATATCATTCCTAGAGATTGCCTGACATTAATTCCATTCCTAGAGATTGCCTGACATTAATTCCATTCCTAGAGATTGCCTGACATTAATATCATTCCTAGAGATTGCCTGACATTAATTCCATTCCTAGAGATTGCCTGACATTAATATCATTCCTAGAGATTGCCTGACATTAATATCATTCCTAGAGATTGCCTGACATTAATATCATTCCTAGAGATTGCCTGACATTAATATCATTCCTAGAGATTGCCTGACATTAATATCATTCATAGAGATTGCCTGACATTAATATCATTCATAGAGATTGCCTGACATTAATATCATTCCTAGAGATTGCCTGACATTAATATCATTCCTAGAGATTGCCTGACATTAATATCATTCCTAGAGATTGCCTGACATTAATTCCATTCCGAGAGATTGCCTGACATTAATATCATTCCTAGAGATTGCCCGACATTAATTCCATTCCTAGAGATTGCCCAACATTAATATCATTCCTAGAGATTGCCTGACATTAATATCATTCCTAGATATTGCCTGACATTAATATCATTCCTAGAGATTGCCTGACATTAATATCATTCCTAGAGATTGCCTGACATTAATATCATTCCTAGAGATTGCCTGACATTAATATCATTCCTAGAGATTGCCTGACATTAATTCCATTCCTAGAGATTGCCTGACATTAATATCATTCCTAGAGATTGCCTGACATTAATATCATTCCTAGAGATTGCCTGACATTAATATCATTCCTAGAGATTGCCTGACATTAATATCATTCCTAGAGATTGCCTGACATTAATTCTATTCCTAGAGAATGAAGAATAGCATGAACAGTTATAAATCTGAATGAAAAAAAAAGATTCCTGTTTATTTGCTAATTAATGAATTTCCAGCTATATATGTAAAGTATATATAGTTAGTCAGTTGAGTTCTTAATATTGAACCAACTTTCATGAATGACGTGGAAATCTTGAACAAGATCGGGGCTTTTTCTGGGAGCTTTGACGGGTCACACATGGGCCCAATACCTCATTGGATTTATTTCATAAAATTGCTAAATTCCCAAAATATATATTGAACTCTTTAAATTTCCTTCCCATTTGATCAAATTTCTGTGCTAAATGTGACACATGCACATTGATGATCATCTTCACACACATTTTCAACATACATGGATGAACTACAATGAATTATTTAGAATTTTGTCATATAGGTTTGTAAGTCCAAATGTAATAATGCATACTCTCTAACTTACTTTCTATGGTTAATCCTGCCCTAATAGAATGAATAAGTTGAGTGAGGAAAAGTTACATACAAGTGTTTGAAATGTATATAGTAACTGACATAAGTCTGTACTGAAGGGTTTAGATACATGTCTTATTTGCTACAGGTCACAGACTGATATGATGTACATTTAGTTAGGTCATTTACCACTATAGAATAGGACAAATTTGATTTTTTTTCTTCAGTTTTATGGAGGAAAACAGCTCAGATGGACTGGATATACCTAAAAAACATCTACATAAGATTAAAAATATTATAGACTTTAAATTTGAGTTATAAATTACATTTTGGATCTATTCTTCTTAAGGGTTCAAGATATCCAAGGTCCCGGAAGAAATAGATGACATTATCATCGGAAGTGGTATTGGTGGTTTGGGGGCTGCGTCTATATTGTCTCGGTCAGGTCACTGCGTTCTAGTTCTGGAGCAGCATGATCAGGCTGGAGGATGCTGTCACACATTCCATGAGAAAGGCTATGAGTTTGATACTGGTAAGTGAGGTCACAATATCCAACCAAATCAGAGATCAGGGCTTTCGATCTGCCAAATTTGGGGCCAATATTCGGCCCCATTCCCAATGCAAAATAGTATTTTTCTTCCCAATATAGACCCCAAGTTTTCCCAATTCTAAGGAAAACGCTGCTATTTTTCCCAATTCTAAGGAAAACGCTGCTACTTTTCCCAATTCTAAGGGCCCCGGGCCCCGGGCCCCAGTCCCAAAATGGGGTGTGAGAGCCCTGGAGATCTATTGAAAGTTGTTGTTTTACTTTACAGATATTTTATGTAATCTGTGGACTCCATATTTTTAATCATATTCTATCCTCATTTTGCATTAATACTATTTTACAGCAGCATTATGTCTGAGACGATACATCTCCTTCGGATCATCTTTTCAAAAGTTCTATGAAAGTGGTAAAATAAGTTCTTGTACAAAAGACTTAGGTATACTTAATAAAGGTTAGATATACCTAATAAAGGTTAGATATACCTGATAAAGGTTAGATATACCTGATAATGGTTAGATATACCTAATAAAGGTTAGATATACCTGATAAAGGTTAGATATACCTAATAAAGGTCAGATATACCTGATAAAGGTCAGATATACCTGATGAAGGTTAGATATACCTGATAAAGGTTAGATTTACCTGATAAAGGTTAGATATACCTGATAAAGGTTAGATATACCTAATAAAGGTTAGATATACCTAATAAAGGTTAGATATAAAGGTTAGATATACCTGATAAAGGTTAGATATACCTGATAAAGGTTAGATATACCTGATAATGGTTAGATATACCTGATAAAGGTTAGATATACCTAATAAAGGTTAGATATACCTGATAAAGGTCAGATATACCTGATAAAGGTCAGATATACCTAATAAAGGTCAGATATACCTGATAAAGGTCAGATATACCTGATAAAGGTTAGATATACCTGATAAAGGTTAGATATAACTAATAAAGGTCAGATATACCTAATAAAGGTCAGATATACCTGATAAAGGTCTTGATAAAGGTCAGATATACCTGATAAAGGTTAGATATACCTGATAGAGGTTAGATATACCTGATAAAGGTTAGATATACCTGATAAAGGTTAGATATACCTAATATAGGTTAGATATACCTGATAAAGGTTAGATATACCTAATAAAGGTTCAGACCACAAATAAATTATACATATGTGTGATACGGTCTTATTACAAAAGTTTTGTGTGAATATCTAATGTAACAAACTTGTAACATTCTGTTTGACTTTGGTAGGTATTCATTACATCGGTAAGATGTATGAAGGAGCTGATAACAGAGCCCTGATCGACATGGTGACAGGGGGTAAAATTGAGTATCCAAAGATGACCGAATGTTATGATGTGGTAAGTCCATTTTCTGTTAATTTCATTTTTAACAGACTTGGGTTCTATTTAACTTGGAATTTTTCCGTGCAGTGTTGAATTTTTTTTAACCACACTTACAACATACAATGCAGAAGGTGTAAGCTACCTTTCATGTGCATGAAACCAAGATTTTGTTTGGTATTTTATTTCTGATTGTATGGACTATACAGAAATATCAAAGACTAGAAATATCAAAGACTAGAAATATCAAAGTCTAGAAATATCAAAGTCAGAAAATATCTAGAAAATCAGAAATATCAAAGACTAGAAATATCAAAGATCTAGAAATATCAAAGACTAGAAATATCAAAGAAATATCTAGAAATATCTAGAAATATCAAAGTCTAGAAATATCAAAGACTAGAAATATCAAAGTCTAGAAATATCAAAGACTAGAAATATCAAAGACTAGAAATATCAAAGATTAGAAATATCAAAGTCTAGAAATATCAAAGACTAGAAATATCAAAGATTAGAAATATCAAAGTCTAGAAATATCAAAGATTAGAAATATCAAAGTCTAGAAATATCAAAGACTAGAAATATCAAAGATTAGAAATATCAAAGTCTAGAAATATCAAAGACTAGAAATATCAAAGACTAGAAATATCAAAGTCTAGAAATATCAAAGTCTAGAAATATCAAAGACTAGAAATATCAAAGACTAGAAATATCAAAGACTAGAAATATCAAAGTCTAGAAATATCAAAGACTAGAAATATCAAAGACTAGAAATATCAAAGTCTAGAAATATCAAAGTCTAGAAATATCAAAGACTAGAAATATCAAAGTCTAGAAATATCAAAGTCTAGAAATATCAAAGACTAGAAATATCAAAGTCTAGAAATATCAAAGACTAGAAATATCAAAGTCTAGAAATATCAAAGACTAGAAATATCAAAGTCTAGAAATATCAAAGACTAGAAATATCAAAGTCTAGAAATATCAAAGACTAGAAATATCAAATAGAAATATCAAAGACTAGAAATATCAAAGTCTAGAAATATCAAAGTCTAGAAATATCAAAGACTAGAAATATCAAAGTCTAGAAATATCAAAGATTAGAAATATCAAAGACTAGAAATATCAAAGATTAGAAATATCAAAGACTAGAAATATCAAAGACATGACATCAGGTCCAAAAATATCATAGCTTATTAGCAAGTGGGTGACTTACACTGAAATAAAAGTTCTTGCTTTGGTTTGCTTAGGTCTGGAGGTTAAAGGTCAAGGTCACTAGCATATTAGTGAAATAGAAAAACTGTTTTCACACGATATCTCAAGTTTTCTTTGGCAGATTCCATGCAGATTTCAGACTCTTTGAAATCCAGATATCCCTGCTTCTCTTTAGAATTCCATATCATTATTGACCATTTTTTAAAAAAAAATGTATGCAGTATGTGCCTTTTTTACTTTGACTACAAATCTTCATATTGATAAGTTGATCTTTGATCACTTTCTATGAAATCTTGAATTGGTATATCATTAGATAAACCAGTATTAGATAAAAGTATGGGATGGTATTAATATTGATTATCATTGTTTTGTCTAAATTGATAGCTTTTATATACTGTAAGTGAATTACCAGAACACCAACCAGGAGTATTTTGTATTGCTGTGAAGATTTAAATGTTTAGCGCAGAGATAAAAAGTCCTGCAATTTCAGCTTCTGAAATGATGTATTCAAATTAACATCATCCCTTGAAAAGTGTCTTTGAATTATATGTCTCCAAGTTTGATCTGTCATAAACATGGCATGTCATATTTAAGGACACGAGATTGTAGGTAGTTGTGGTCAATCAGCTGCTTGATACTGTCATGTTGAAAAGGTACATTAAATCAGCCATGAGTAAGAGTCGCGATTGTTGCTCAGCATAATGATTTGTGCATTGATTCAATCCACATCAGTACATACCTGGTATGTTTTTCGTGCCATTTTCTTTGGGTCCTTCTATTGGTTTTACATAACTTACCTAACAACTGTCATTTAGTCCAACAATGGTTTAGGGTTATACATTGAGACACTTTAGATGTAATGGAAAGCGATATACCATCACATTTAAGATATAAAACTTTTAATAAATTTTTGTCGGTACCTGTCCTTTCACTTATAATCACATGGTACCACTTAATAGCACAGTTAATGAACAGTTTGTTTCACTTAACAACCTATATTAAGTGGAAGTAAATCAGCAACGATATAGCAGTATTATATAGGACCTATGTAGAGAGATCAATGCGACTTTGATTTCCTAGTTTTTTTGTAGATATTCACTTTCCTATTTTTGGTATCAATTATAACTCATCAACGATAGTACAAATTTTATTTTACTAGGTTTGCCTCGGAGGTTCTGATAAGGTGAAGAAGTTCAAAATAATGGACAACAGAAAGGCTTTCGCAGAAGAGCTCATCAAGAACTTCCCTGAAGAAAAGGAAGCCATTGAAAAATTCATGGTTTTACTCAAGGTAGATGTCTGCTTGTACACTCTTCAAATTTAGGCAGAATTATTTATACTCTATCATCAATTTCTTCTGGCCGTCCATCTCATTGTACATTGGTAAACATCAGTTATATAGGATGCTGTAGTGAGGTTATGTAGGATCTTGCTAAGAAAATTTTTACTTTCTAAGACAATACAGATTCTCTACAAAAAGAAACAAGCATATATTCTTAATATTTCTACTAAAATTAACAAAGAGAAGCTGGTTAGATTATGCAGTGGTAAATGTGTTTGAATTACACCTCTGCAAGTTGGGTTTGAATTCCTGATCACAGTATGAAAGAGTGAGGCGATACCTGGCAGACAACTTTAAGTTTTTCTTTGATATTCTGGTTTCATTCTATAATGAGACTGTTTGTACATTTCAATATCCAGAGTGAGAGATATCATATTTACCTTTAATATGGCTTTAAAATTAATAAAATTCATAAAGAATTTTGATATTTTTTATTATGGAATTTAGGTGAGTCTAAATACGGCAGATCAAATTTTTTGATATGGAAGTCAGTACTTGATTAAAAATCCAGCAGATTTATGCATACTGTGTTTCTGATTTTCATCAGTTGATTTTCACAGGATGCCAGGTCCTATTTTATGGGATTTTATGTGCTGAAGGTTTTACCAAAATGGCTTGCATCCCTATTGTCATCCATTGGCATTATGGACCTAGTGTTTCGTCCTTGGTCAAAGTATACGTCCAAATCCACAAAGGAGGTCCTTGATTCTCTCACAGATAATGATGACCTGAAGGCAGTGTTAACATACAGCTTTGGCGACTATGGTGAGATGATTTTATGTCATGGTTATGTGCCAGGATCTATACCATGTGAGCTATTACCACGCTAGTGTTGATAGTTTAGATGCTTACTTTGTTAGATTCTAATAAATGGTTTTCTTTTATATATGCATATTTTGGAAATTAATAGTCACGATTTAAAATAAAGCCATAATTATCAGCTTTATGAGTATGTTGTGTTAGAGAACAAAGCAGTAATTCTGTGAACTGATAACATGTAGTTTTAGCATATTGATAGTCAGTCATCTACATTTTTTTCTGTATATTTGAGATTTTCCTTTTACAGGTGTGGCCCCATCCAAGTCCCCGTTTGGACTTCAGGCAACTCTGTTGAACCACTATATGGGTGGAGCTTTCTATATCAGAGGTGGACCCAGTGAGATCGCACTTCATGCTATACCTGTCATAGAGAAAAGTGGTGGCCGTGTCCTTGTCAACGCGCGTGTCAACAAAATCATCCTTAGTGACAAAGGCAGAGCAGTTGGTAAGCCTAGATAGTTAGTCTTTATTGTATTTTTCAAATATGCCAAGTTGAAAATGAAGGTAAAATTTACAGATCAGATGCATTCTCAGCATGATCTTCACATGAAGACAAGGTTAACAGTAGATGTGAAAAGTGAACATTACCTCTACCTGTAGCTGATGCTATGTTGTAGTGTTGACCTAATGTAAGAATTCTATGTAAAGGTGAACATATGTAGGTATTATGTAAGTGTCCTAATGGTTGATATCAACTTATGCTGCTAGCCTGATGTTCCAAGACAAGTTAAATAAGGTTAACAATCTTGAATGTACCATTGGTGTTAGTATCTACATCATCTAAATTTGATTGTTCTACAGGTGTGGAGGTAAAGACAGGTGACGGAAGTACCCAGATATTTGCCAAGCGTGTCATCTCTGATGCTGGAGTATTCAACACTTTCACCAAATTACTACCACAGGAAGTGGCACAAAAGTCAAGTAAGCATGACATACAAAATGTAACTTTGATGACCTGTCATTTTATTTAGGGATGGATAGGAGGGGAGAGGGATAATAGTCTTAATCATGTCCATACCTCACTTCCTCTATCCTGCTCCGCCATGTTCAATTTCAAATTGGTGTCATATCAGAGAACCTCACAACAGATTTGGATTATATTTATTCCAAAATATAACATCAAGTTCTGTGCTTACCATATTAAGGTGTTCATAGTTTGAAGGACTCGTTCAACAATTTCTGTAAAATTCATCGAACAATCACACATATTTGGACTGGAAAGCCAATATTTATGTCTTACAGATATGCCCTAGTTGATAAAGACCTTCATGAATTTTTTCAATATTATTCTCTGTGTTTTCCATGGTAACTATTTCTATGATGATTACTTTATCTGATGTTCTATATTATCAGAGCTCTATCCAGCAATTAAGAATGTTGGAAACAGTCTCTCCTACATGTCTGTATTTATCGGGATGGATGGATCACAACAGGAACTTGGCATTGAGGGACACAACATGTGGTGCTTCAACAGGTATAGTAATAAGACAAAGAACAGGGACCTATTCTTCTCTGTAAATAACACACAAGCCAGGTGCTTCACTGTATATCACACCAGGGCCAGACACTTCACTGTATATCACACCAGGGCCAGACACTTCACTGTATATCACACCAGGGCCAGACACTTCACTATATATCACACCAGGGCCAGACACTTCACTGTATATCACACCAGGGCCAGACACTTCACTGTATATCACACCAGGGCCAGGTACACCAGGGCCAGACACTTCACTGTATATCACACCAGGGCCAGACACTTCACTGTATATCACACCAGCGCCAGACACTTCACTGTATATCACACCAGGGCCAGACACTTCACTGTATATCACACCAGGGCCAGACACTTCACTGTATATCACACCAGGGCCAGACACTTCACTGTATATCACACCAGGGCCAGACACTTCACTGTATATCACACCAGTGCCAGACACTTCACTGTATATCACACCAGTGCCAGACACTTCACTGTATATCACACCAGTGCCAGACACTTCACTGTATATCACACCAGGGCCAGACACTTCACTGTATATCACACCAGGGCCAGACACTTCACTGTATATCACACCAGGGCCAGACACTTCACTGTATATCACACCAGGGCCAGACACTTCACTGTATATCACACCAGGGCCAGACACTTCACTATATATCACACCAGGGCCAGACACTTCACTATATATCACACCAGGGCCAGACACTTCACTATATATCACACCAGGGCCAGACACTTCACTGTATATCACACCAGGGCCAGACACTTCACTGTATATCACACCAGGGCCAGACACTTCACTGTATATCACACCAGGGCCAGGTGCTTCACTGTATATCACACCAGGGCCAGACACTTCACTGTATATCACACCAGGGCCAGACACTTCACTGTATATCACACCAGGGCCAGGTGCTTCACTGTATATCACACCAGGGCCAGACACTTCACTGTATATCACACCAGGGCCAGACACTTCACTGTATATCACACCAGGGCCAGACACTTCACTGTATATCACACCAGGGCCAGACACTTCACTGTATATCACACCAGGGCCAGACACTTCACTGTATATCACAACAGGGCCAGACACTTCACTGTATATCACACCACCAGGGTATATCACACCAGGGCCAGACACTTCACTGTATATCACACCAGGGCCAGGTACTTCACTGTATATCACACCAGGGCCAGACACTTCACTGTATATCACACCAGGGCCAGACACTTCACTGTATATCACACCAGGGCCAGACACTTCACTGTATATCACACCAGGGCCAGGTACTTCACTGTATATCACACCACCAGGTGCTTCACTGACCAGGTGCCAGAGGGCCACTTCACTGTATATCACAGGGCCAGGGCCAGACACTTCACTGTATATCACACCAGGGCCAGGTGCTTCACTGTATATCACACCAGGGCCAGACACTTCACTGTATATCACACCAGGGCCAGACACTTCACTGTATATCACACCAGGGCCAGACACTTCACTGTATATCACACCAGGGCCAGACACTTCACTGTATATCACACCAGGGCCAGACACTTCACTGTATATCACACCAGAGCCAGACACTTCACTGTATATCACACCAGGGCCAGACACTTCACTGTATATCACACCAGGGCCAGACACTTCACTGTATATCACACCAGGGCCAGACACTTCACTGTATATCACACCAGTGCCAGACACTTCACTGTATATCACACCAGGGCCAGACACTTCACTGTATATCACACCAGTGCCAGACACTTCACTGTATATCACACCAGGGCCAGACACTTCACTGTATATCACACCAGGGCCAGACACTTCACTGTATATCACACCAGGGCCAGACACTTCACTGTATATCACACCAGGGCCAGACACTTCACTGTATATCACACCAGGGCCAGACACTTCACTGTATATCACACCAGGGCCAGGTGCTTCACTGTATATCACACCAGGGCCAGGTACTTCACTGTATATCACACCAGGGCCAGACACTTCACTGTATATCACACCAGGGCCAGACACTTCACTGTATATCACACCAGGGCCAGACACTTCACTGTATATCACACCAGGGCCAGAAACTTCACAGAATATCACACCACGGCCAGACTCTTCACTGTATATCACAACAGGGCCAGACACTTCACTGTATATCACACCAGGGCCAGACACTTCACTGTATATCACACCAGGGCCAGACACTTCACTGTATATCACACCAGGGCCAGACACTTCACTGTATATCACACCAGGGCCAGACACTTCACTGTATATCACACCAGGGCCAGACACTTCACTGTATATCACACCAGGGCCAGACACTTCACTGTATATCACACCAGGGCCAGGTTCTTCACTGTATATCACACCAGGGCCAGACACTTCACTATATATCACACCAGGGCCAGACACTTCACTATATATCACACCAGGGCCAGACACTTCACTGTATATCACACCAGGGCCAGACACTTCACTGTATATCACACCAGGGCCAGGTACTTCACTGTATATCACACCAGGGCCAGACACTTCACTGTATATCACACCAGGGCCAGGTGCTTCACTGTATATCACACCAGGGCCAGGTGCTTCACTGTATATCACACCTGGGCAAGAGACTTCACTGTATATCACACCAGGGGCTGGTGCTTCACTGTATATCACACCAGGGCCAGACACTTCACTGTATATCACACCAGGGCCAGGTGCTTCACTGTATATCACACCAGGGCCAGGTGCTTCACTGTATATCACACCAGGGGCTGGTGCTTCACTGTATATCACACCAGGGCCAGACACTTCACTGTATATCACACCAGGGCCAGGTGCTTCACTGTATATCACACCAGGGCCAGACACTTCACTGTATATCACACCAGGGCCAGGTTCTTCACTGTATATCACACCAGGGCCAGACACTTCACTGTATATCACACCAGGGCTAGTTTGTTCACTGTATGTCTTACACAAAATAATATGTTACATATGGGCCTGTTCTTCATTGGATACTTTACACCAACAATATATAGGGACCATTTCAGTCCTTATAAACCGTACATAGATATAATACTGCACAGGGACTGGATTCTTTACTGGATGTCCTACTCAAATAATACAATGACCATTGTGTCATTAAGCAATTTCAGAAGGTAAATATTATGAGTGGATGTATAATGTTGAATTGTTTAAGAGTGCAAAGATTATTATGCAATCAAGTTAAGGATTTATATTCACTGATATGATATTAACAGGTTAACCATAAAACAATATTGTTACCATTTATCTCATTACTTTTAATGAAAAAAAATTCTTGCTTTTGTACAGGACTGATCAGGAGAAGGCGATGTACGAATGGCTTGATATGTCTGTGGAAGATGCAGCCCACAGCGAGGTTCCGTTGATGTTTGTCTCCTTCCCGTCTGCCAAGGATCCTACCTGGCCACAACGTTTCCCAGGTATGGACAACAAAAAGGGTCTATGGAGACCATATCAGTGTAATATCATGTTAAGGATTCCCTCAATCGGTTGTCTTTATAATTCATAACTGAACCCTTTTGCAGTGTTTAAACATTTTAAATTAGCATTAATAAATCTGAGGAACAAAATGGACGTTCTAGTGTAAACATCCTCAGTGTCCCCTGTGATCAGAAGGAGAAGAGAAATGTCAATAAGTTTCAATGAATTTCTAATTAATTTGTATAAAATGATTGTCTTTCACTACCCTAGTAAATAATGACTGATGAAGGCAATTTTTTCCAGATAAAAGTACCTGCCTAATCATAACAGTAGGAAGATTTGAATGGTTCGCACGGTGGCAGAATGAGAGGCTGAAGCACCGTAGTGAGGAGTATGAGGGTCTGAAGAATCGCATGGGAAGACAGATGTGGAATCAGCTGACTGCCATTTGTCCAAAACTAGAGGGAAGGGTGAGTTAAACATGTTTAAATCATATTTTGTTATAAAAAAACAAGGGGGGGGGAAGACAGAAAGGTCATTAAGTTGCAACCAACACATCTCATTTTTTGCTGACATAACAATTTGCTCCTTCCCTCTTGTTGTAATGTTGAAGTACATCTATCCCCCCTCTTCAAGACAATGTTAGATGTGGCGTTATCAGTCTGCTAATGGTCTATACATATTGGCTTACTGTATTATTACCCACAAAGCATACACATAATAGCCTGCACCTCTTCCTTGCTGTGTTTTTAGCTCACCATGAGCAAATTAGTTCAAGTTCAGTAAGATTTCAAATGTTTGGTGCCAGCATCCTTCTGAAGTTTTGCAATAAATTCACATAAAGCATCGATCGCTTTTATCACTAACAAGATTTAGCAATTAAATTTCTAAGGATATTACCAAAATGTTCACATACAATATGATAATATTTTGTCTGTTGCTTGTTTACAGGATGACTACTTCGAGGTTGGCTCCCCTCTCAGTAGCAAATACTACATGGGATATGAAGAGGGAGAAATATACGGACTGGATCATACCATTAACAAATTCCTTCCAAGTTCTGCCATTCAACTCCGTCCCAAGACTGATATACCAGGGCTTTACTTGACAGGTAGGTAGTACTGGTGATTCACCTATTACTGACATACCAGGGCTGTACTTGTCAGTAGGTAGTACTGGTGATTCACCTATTACTGACATACCAGGGCTGTACCTGTCACTAGGTAGTACTGGTGATTTACCTATTACTGACATACCAGGGCTTTACATGACAGGTAGGTAGTACTGGTGATTTATCTATTACTGATATACCAGGGCTGTACCTGTCAGTAGGTAGTACTGGTGATTTACTTATTACTGATATACCAGGGCTGTACCTGTCAGTAGGTAGTACTGGTGATTTACTTATTACTGACATACCAGGGATGTACTTGTCAGTAGGTAGTACTGGTGATTTACCTATTACTTACATACCAGGGCTTTACATGACAGGTAGGTAGTACTGGTGATTTACCTATTACTGACATACCAGGGCTGTACCTGTCAGTAGGTAGTACTGGTGATTTACCTATTACTGACATACCAGGGCTGTACCTGTCAGTAGGTAGTACTGGTGATTTACCTATTACTGACATACCAGGGCTTTACATGACAGGTAGGTAGTACTGGTGATTTACCTATTACTGACATACCAGGGCTGTACATGACAGGTAGGTAGTACTGGTGATTTACCTATTACTGACATACCAGGGCTGTACCTGTCAGTAGGTAGTACTGGTGATTTACCTATTACTGACATACCAGGGCTGTAACTGTCAGTAGGTAGTACTGGTGATTTACCTATTACTGACATACCAGGGCTTTACATGACAGGTAGGTAGTACTGGTGATTTACCTATTACTGACATACCAGGGCTGTAACTGTCAGTAGGCAGTACTGGTGATTTACCTATTACTGACATACCAGGGCTTTACATGACAGGTAGGTAGTACTGGTGATTTACCTATTACTGACATACCAGGGCTGTACTTGTCAGTAGGTAGTACTGGTGATTTACCTATTACTGACATACCAGGGCTGTACCTGTCAGTAGGTAGTACTGGTGATTTACCTATTACTGACATACCAGGGCTGTACTTGTCAGTAGGTAGTACTGGTGATTTACCTATTACTGACATACCAGGGCTTTACATGACAGGTAGGTAGTACTGGTGATTTACCTATTACTGACATACCAGGGCTGTACTTGTCAGTAGGTAGTACTGGTGATTTACCTATTACTGACATACCAGGGCTTTACATGACAGGTAGGTAGTACTGGTGATTTACCTATTACTGACATACCAGGGCTGTACTTGTCAGTAGGTAGTACTGGTGATTTACCTATTACTGACATACCAGGGCTTTACATGACAGGTAGGTAGTACTGGTGATTTACCTATTACTGACATACCACGGCTGTACCTGTCAGTAGGTAGTACTGGTGATTTACCTATTACTGACATACCAGGGCTTTACATGACAGGTAGGTAGTACTGGTGATTTACCTATTACTGACATACCAGGGCTTTACATGACAGGTAGGTAGTACTGGTGATTTACCTATTACTGACATACCAGGGCTGTACCTGTCAGTAGGTAGTACTGGTGATTTACCTATTACTGACATACCAGGGCTTTACATGACAGGTAGGTAGTACTGGTGATTTACCCTCTTAGACTCCTATCTGATATAAAGATTGTAGGGTACAATTAATATTTCTAAACAATTTTATCTTAACCTAAGATGTTTTGTTTCTTTTAGGTCAGGACATCTTGGTGTGTGGTTTCAGTGGTGCTTTGTTTGGTGGCATGTTGTGTGCATCCTCCGTTCTACACCGTAACCTCCACAATGACCTTGCAAAAGTTGTGAAGGATGTCAAAGCAGCTGCTAAAGCAGAAAAGAAGACATCTTAAGCCAATGCTAGAGGATGAGATAAAATCCAACATACATATACAAGTTTAGACTGGTCCAAATATCTAAAAGAAATTTTCTCACCTACAAATTTAAAGGTACATTCAAGTGTTACCTGAATGAAAACAGCCCAGAACCTTCACAGCAAAACAAATTGGCTTATTACTATATGTTATAGATTAAAAAAATTCTTGTATTTAATTCTTTTGGTAAAATGGAAACAGATTTAAATTATTGTCATTGGTCTGGACAAGAATTTTTTTTTTCACAGACATTGGGTAAAAACAATGTAAATGTTCTTTTAGAAAATGTTTTGATGATGTGATGATGTGAAATAAATACAAGAATATTAAAGGGATCTATATTAGTAGAGTTTGTAAAAAACAACAGTAGGTAGGTTGGTCTGATCAATAGGTAGGTTGGTCTGATCAATAGGTAGGTTGGTCTGATCAATAGGTAGGTTGGTCTCATCAATAGGTAGGTTGGTCTGATAGTGGTATGAGTAAAATAATAGTAAAAAAAAATATGTCAGCATTAGAAAAAAAAAGTTTTGTTTGCTTGATTTTGAATATCACATTATGTTTTGCTAATTTCATTGTTTGATCAGTTCAGAAGTTTTGGGCATTAATGTGAAATGCTGATGGTATCTGATTTGTCTACCAACCATTAAGAAACCTTTGTAGTAGTAGCTAAGTGTGATTAACAGCAAGGAAACAAATGTGTAGGTGGTGGCTATATCATTGTAAGGTGAACAATTTGATGTAAGTAAGATAAAAATCTGGATGATACCCAGTAATAGTATTCCATTATTACTGTATATCATTGGACATGTATAACATGTGGAAGGATATATTATGTATTTAGCTAACCCATGACTGTATAAAGACATTTTATTTAAGTGTCATACTGTTACTAACTGTTGGAACAGAACACTAGTGACCTCTGCATTACTTGTTGCAAGGAAATGAAACACTCACAAAGAATAATTTGTATTTTACATCACTACTTTTTTGACTATACCTGGTTATGTCCCCTTATACAAACCTGGAATAGTTGCTATATAGTGATATGCTTTTCAAGGCTGGTTTAAAATTAAACCGGTTAAAGGGTAACATGTTTAAAGTGATATAATGTTCGTTGGAAATTACGTTTTTTATTATCCAAAATTATATATTGAATCTTCTTTCAAATGGAATATTTTTCTGCTGCAATACACATCTCTATATGTTATTCTTCCTCATTGGTGAAAACACATTTTTGTTAATGTGTACAGATATAAATGTTGCATCATATTAATGGAGTGTCCATTTAATATGGATTTCATTAAACAACTTCAATAGTTTGTTACGCTATTAGAAATGGTGATAATATCAAATTATTCATCTTTTTACCCTTGCCCGTCACACTTTTCATCGTCTTTATGTTGAAGTATAAGCATTCATTGGTATCTTATTGAAAATTTAATATATTATACCATTACAAAAAGAACCAAATGTTTTATGCAGATGAACTATGTATGATTATCATCAGGAAAGCTTTCTGTACCCACTGATAGTAAAATTTATTGCATGAGAAATTCAGTCAAAATATGTTTAAAATCAAAGAAGTTTGAATCCAAAAATGTTGCAACAATCTTAGACTTTAAGAGTGTTGGTTCTGCCAATACTTCATCTTCTCAAATTGTCAAATTGTTAATTCTTTATACTTCAGGTCTTTACATCACCTGACTGTCCTATTTAGAATCCATAACAATAAGTGTTTGTTTAAATGTTGTTTTATGTAATACTTTGTTCAGTATTGTAAAACTTTTTTCATTTAACAGGATATTCTAGTTGTTTTGTGTGAACAAGTCATTCTGATAAAGGGAATGTGTTGTTCAGTTGAAACAAACCACATATATAAAAAAGTATATATAATATATAAAAAAGTATATATAATATATAAAAAAGTATATATAATATGTAATTACTGAGTATTTAGACAGAATTATAACTTATGATATTAAAAGAAATATGTATTTTTGTATCTGTAATGACTAAAGGTAGTTATATTTGTGGTTCTAGAATACCAAACAATGTTATCTGTCCTAATGGAAGCTAGTTGTACTGTCATACCTCCAGACAACATCAAGATTCCCTGGAGGAAGGAGAAGACTTTGATATTAGTAATGAATGGAGCCTGAATCACTCATACACTTGACTTCAGTTTAATTTTGCGGATATTTCAGGTGTTTGATAAAAAAAAAAAAAAAAACATTTCTAATTTTTAATGTTTTTTTCTTTCCTTCACTAATTGGTTTAGGCATGTTAGTCCGTTCAGCATAACCTATTTACAATCTGTAAGTCTGATTTACCACATTTGATTTAACAGAATGCTTTGTTTCTGATTCGGTTGTTTTCACTTAATCATTACGTAGAGTGAATTACCAATACAAATTTATTGTGTTTTGAATTGCATCATGTATACCGTTTTGATATTGTACTATTGCTCAGTGTTCAAATATGTTATTTTTAGAAACTTACATTTATCACTAATATTTTCCTTGATGAATATGAAGTCTTAATATGAGAGAAAACCAAAGTATATACATGTACCATACATAGGGAATGTATTGCGCATATCTCATTTTTGCAAATTTAGTGACCCTTTCATAATCACAAAAGAATTAAAACTCATAAATTTTTATGTCATCTGACTGAAGGGTCTGATGACCTATTGCGATCGCTTTTTGTCCGTCGGCGTCCATCTTACGTCGTTGGTAGTCCGTCGTAAACATTTTCAACTTCTTCTCAAGTTCTACATGTCTCATTGAGCTGAAACTTACCTGAAATGAATGTGACATAATCCTGACTAAAGTTTGTTAATTTTGGGTTGGTACGAAATCCAACATGGCCGCCATCTTGAAAAAACATTTTTGACTTCTCAAGTTCAAAATTTGAGATCTTGTATTTTATGTCAGATGACCATTAAGGCCCATGGGCCTCTTCTTCTTGTTGTTTTTATTGTTAATGCATAAGTAATGCATCTCTAGAGCTGATGTACCTACATGAACCTGAACCTTTTCTTGGCATGAATATATTTTATGATAAAAAGTACTCTTTGGTTTGGTAAATCTTACCTTAGTAGGACTAGTTAGGTGGATCTAAAATTGTTGTTACAACCTACATCGGTGTAATAGTAAGCTATGTTTATTCAAAGTATTCAAAGACTTCAAATAGGCCTTTCATATTTCTGAAATTGTAAAATTACAAACAAGTTTAAAATGTGAAAATTATAAAAGGTATATTTTGGGAAATTTGCAAAAATTGCACAGCACAAACATATGGTATATTTGCAGTGGTGATACCATATTATCAGAGAACTGAAACACAACTTTATTTTATGTTCAGAAACGTAGTTAAGGGGAGAGATAATTGTTTTCTAGCATAAACGAAATACTCAGTAATATAGTGAAATGCAAAGGGTTGTTTGTTGCAGAATTGGTGCTTATCAAGTTATATGGCAAAGGACACTTTAACTGACTGTTACCTCAGGGGAATGCTTCCATGTTATAAATAGTGTTTCTATTGCAAACTTTACTGTTAACACCTTTTTAAAATTTGTTTTTGCATATTTCATTTAGGTATTCAAAACTTAATGACTTTGATCAAACTGTGAATAATCGGGAAATGTTTAAATTTTAGTCTTATAATTACCTTCCTTTAACTCGTGAATTTTTTTTTTTTTTTTTTACAAGTTGATGTTGAATTCTGTTCTTGCCACTTGAATTTGTAACTTACACAAGACAAAGAACAGGAAGTTGATGCTTTGACTTTTGTAGGATTGGTAATTTGTACGGTATATTGTGTGAAGGCTTGCCATTTGTATTACTTACATCCCGGTATTCTGCGTGGTTTGTTTGTGGTTTTATTTGCTTTTTTTTCTATCTCATTATTTTATAACAAATTATAAGTTGAAAGAATTTATTTATGTAATATGCTATTAACATTTGATTCATTACTCAAGAAGAACTAAAATTTTGAGGAGCCTTTCATTCTTGCTGGCACTGTGGTAGTATAGTTATTTAATTTACTACTCCGGCAACAGCCAGGATAATTTTGAGGTATGGTCTCCTAATAGCAGCTGGTAGCCACCTCACTGGACAACTTGAAGGAGAATACCACAAACTATTTAGAGCTATCGGTCAAAGTACCTGGTACATCATCTTGACCCAGTCAGGACACAACCACACCAGCACAGAATGTTCTTTGACCTTACCTTACCTTACACAAAGTGCCTGATAAAACATTGGAGAAATTTTATGTTACAAACACTGCACCATATGGTTGGTCTGATAGCAGATATAACTTTTCACTTTGTATTGGCTGTGCTCATATTCACTGTCTATTCAGACCACAAAAGTAATAAAGAACAAATTCATTATAATAAGGTAAATAGGCATTGTCCACATTCTAACTAATCGTGCCCAATTTACGTTTGATTTTTGTGTTGGTTATTTGAAATTGATGATGTGGAATGATTTACATTTCTGTATATTTATGCGATTAATAAGATCTCTCTATATATATAATTTTATCAAGTCATGCCTATCACTCTATCTGGCAACTTAGAAAAAAGTACTTGATTGTTACAATAACTGTGATCCTGTGTATATCTCTTTGTAACTCCTGTTTGTATCTCATAAGAAAAAACATCTACATTAATTTTTGTTCTAATACTTCTTAAATGCAAAGATATAGATATCTTATGACTTATATAAAAAAATATTTTTAAAAAAATATAATTAATCATATACATATATTTCCGTAAGTATCTTTCTCATTTTTGTCTTTGTTTATATTTCTGAAGTAAATTGTCACAGGTAAGAGTGCAAAATTAATGCTGAGAAATACAAAAATCTATCAGATATCATCATTTTATAATTCCTAAAGATAAAGTCTTCACCCACTGCTAAATTTTTCTAGACCTTTTTTATAGGTGACCGTAGTTTCATTCCTTTAAAGTATTAGAGGAGTGACACAGTAAATAGGTGTCTTTGGAGTTCATTATACATACTGTTTTTTAGTTCCATTCAGGGAAATCTTACTACTGGCAAGTAAGAGACATAAACTCTATAAGTTAATACTCCTGTACATTTTTGTAGACTAGCTGTTTGTGGTGTTATATTCAAACACTATGTGAGAAATCAGGAAGAGGTTGACAAATGCATTTCTGTTGTATAATTGTTTATACTATTCAGTTTTATTTCTTGACTTTAATACTCACAAAACAATTTCTTACCAGAAATAAAACATTGATGAATACATTTAGTGGTTCTTGTTTATGTTCAGAAACCAAACTGGATATTTTTGATAAGCCAGGACGACAAATGGTATAAAGAGTATGTAATTTCATGTATTCTGAAAACAAATTATTATTATTATGATAAGTACAAGCTAACCGGTGTATGTATGTATTGCTATAATCATACTGTCACTATTGCCCAGTACTGGGGTCCTGTGACACGTGATACAGTAGTGTGATGGCCCAGTACTGGGGTCCTGTGACACGTGATACAGTAGTGTGATGGCCCAGTACTGGGGTCCTGTGACACGTGATACAGTAGTGTGGAGAAACAAAGAAATCAAACCTGTGATGGCCCAGTACTGGGGTCCTGTGACACAAGATACAGTAGTGTGATGGCCCAGTACTGGGGTCCTGTGACACGTGATACAGTAGTGTGATGGCCCAGTACTGGGGTCCTGTGACACGTGATACAGTAGTGTGGAGAAACAAAGAAATCAAACCTGTGTTGGCCCAGTACTGGGGTCCTGTGACACGTGATACAGTAGTGTGATGGCCCAGTACTGGGGTCCTGTGACACAAGATACAGTAGTGTGATGGCCCAGTACTGGGGTCCTGTGACACATGATACAGTAGTGTGATGGCCCAGTACTGGGGTCCTGTGACACATGATACAGTAGTGTGGAGAAACAAAGAAATCAAACCTGTGATGGCCCTGTACTGGGGTTCTGTGACACATGATACAGTAGTGTGATTGCCCAGTACTGGGGTCCTGTGACACATGATACAGTAGTGTGGAGAAACAAACAAATCAAATCTGTGATGGCCCAGTACTGGGGTCCTGTGACACAAGATACAGTAGTGTGATTGCCCAGTACTGGGGTCCTGTGAAACAAGATACAGTAGTGTGATGGCCCAGTACTGGGGTCCTGTGAAACAAGATACAGTAGTGTGATGGCCCAGTACTGGGGTCCTGTGACACATGATACAGTAGTGTGGAGAAACAAAGAAATCAAACCTGTGATGGCCCTGTACTGGGGTTCTGTGACACAAGATACAGTAGTGTGATGGCCAAGTACTGGGGTCCTGTGATACAAGATACAGTAGTGTGGAGAAACAAAGAAATCAAACCTGTGATGGCCCAGTACTGGGGTCCTGTGACACAAGATACAGTAGTGTGATGGCCCAGTACTGGGGTCCTGTGACACGTGATACAGTAGTGTGGAGAAACAAAGAAATCAAACCTGTGATGGCCCAGTACTGGGGTCCTGTGACACGTGATACAGTAGTGTGGAGAAACAAAGAAATCAAACCTGTGATGGCCCAGTACTGGGGTCCTGTGACACAAGATACAGTAGTGTGATGGCCCAGTACTGGGGTCCTGTGACACGTGATACAGTAGTGTGATGGCCCAGTACTGGGGTCCTGTGACACGTGATACAGTAGTGTGATGGCCCAGTACTGGGGTCCTGTGACACAAGATACAGTAGTGTGATGGCCCAGTACTGGGGTCCTGTGACACGTGATACAGTAGTGTGGAGAAACAAAGAAATCAAACCTGTGATGGCCCAGTACTGGGGTCCTGTGACACAAGATACAGTAGTGTGATGGCCCAGTACTGGGGTCCTGTGACACATGATACAGTAGTGTGGAGAAACAAAGAAATCAAACCTGTGATGGCCCAGTACTGGGGTCCTGTGACACATACAGTAGTGTGATGGCCCAGTACTGGGGTCCTGTGATACAGTAGTGTGGAGAAACAAAGAAATCAAACCTGTGATGGCCCAGTACTGGGGTTCTGTGACACGTGATACAGTAGTGTGATGGCCCAGTACTGGGGTCCTGTGACACGTGATACAGTAGTGTGGAGAAACAAAGAAATCAAACCTGTGATGGCCCTGTACTGGGGTC